AAAAAAAAAAAAACAACCACCCAGCCATTTACAGCCCAACTGGTATTATTCAGAAGTTAATGTCCTTTTATTCTGTTGTCAACACAGGTAGTCCTCAAGTTACGGCCACAGCTGAGCCCAGAATTTATGTTGCTAACTGAGAAATTTGTTAAGTGAGTTTTAGCCCTATTTTACGACTTTCCTTGCCACGTTTTTTAAGGGAATCACTGCAGTTGTTAAATTAGTGACACTGTTGTTAAGTGACTCTGGTTTTCCTATTCACTTTGCTTGTCAGAAGGTTGCAAAAGGGGGTCACATGAGCCCGGGACACACTGCAACCGTCATAAATGTGAGTCAGCTGTCTAGCATCCGAATCACAGGATCATGGGGATGCTGCAACGGTCCTAAGTTTGCAAAATGGTCCTGTCGCTTTTTTCAGTGCCATTGTAACTTTGAACTGTGGTAAGTCAAGGGCTGTCTGTATACAGAGAACAGACCATGATGATGTCGTCGTAAGCATGGCTTTTCAAATATTTACCAATATTTCTTCATAAGCAAAGAGACAATACTCCACACAGCCTTAAAGATATAAAAAGCCTTAACATTTTCACAGAACGATTATATTATACGGTTCTCTGAGCTTGGAAATCCCCTTCCTGAGGTCCCCCCACAAAAATCAACAATTTAGTTTCAGTTGAGTTCTATACACTCTGGGCAAACAATTCTCACTCTTCCTTTCTTGGCAGTGTTGGTGAGTAAAAGAGATGAACTGTAGCCCCTAAAAAATCACTCCCTTGCTAAGGAGATTGTTAAACTGATTGCACTGGGATAACCAAAATAAGCAGATGAAGAATCATTATACTATTAAGAGATTTACCTCACTGCATCGTTCAGAAGGCTTCATATTATCCTTCTGGATAACGATGAAATCTTATCAGTGTACTCTAGCTTAGCTATCACCTGTTGATTGAGCTATTGGCAGAAAGAAGAATGCCAGCTTAAGATAACAGTGTTTAATGTGGGGCTACTTTCTCTTCCTCTCTCTTTTACGTATTGTTGGTAAGTTTATTCTTCATCTAACAGAATATGTGAAATGCACTAGCTATTCCCAAGACATGCACCTTGGTAATTATAACCATTTATGATGGGTGATGCCCAAACAGCCTAGTGATAAATAATATTTTAGCAACAATAGTCAACAGCTGGCACCGTCTGTTTGTTTATCAAGAATGTGTCTTTGGACCAAATCACCAAGGAGGTATGCAATAAAACAAGGAAAACATTAAACCTAAAACACTCAAAGTAATTTAAAAGGCTGGATTGAAGAGGTATGGCAAGTTCTATTCCCAATGTGGAAAGGAAACCGGCAACTACAAGTTTGTGCTCATACAATGACAGTATTAATAAGATGGGAAATTATCTCACTGAGCACAAATGAATCCCTGCATTTACACATTTCTAAAGAGGATTCCATTTTCTCAACCAAGTGCATTTTTCTCATCCCAAGCAATATTGAGTATATAAATTTATATAAAATAACAACCCTATAAATATGTACATGCTCAAGCTTTGTACATATTTATTTTTCATCAATGTTTTACAAGCCCATGAAAGATGCATAACCAGAGCAAAAAAAAAAAATTATAAAGTCATTCAAGCAAAAGTGATCAATAATTAAAGCAAAAAATGTGCAATTAAACATGAAGAGAAATGAAAATAGTACTATTAGGGCTCCTAGAGAGAGATAAAAATAATAAAAAGTGCTGACTGAAAGCAAATTTTAAAGAAACACGATCAAATATTGCACAAAGGAAAAGGAGAAACACTTGACTTTATTCCATACCCAAAAGGAAAGGCAATGGTTGCAAAAGGGAAAGTTTTCCTTTTTGTAAAATAATAATAATAATAATAATAATAATAATAATAATAATAATAATAATAATAATAATAATAATAATAATAAAATAGGAGCAAGATGGTTCCCTAGATACTGAAGGCTACAAATTACTTTTAGTAAGATGAAAAACTGCTTACTTAATGAATTACCCTAAACCAGTGGTGGCGAACCTATGGCACGGGTGCCAGAGGCGGCACTCAGAGCCCTCTCTGTGGGCACGCGCGCCGTCGCCCCAGTCCTAGGCCTTCAGCTGAGTTTTATAAAACCTTTTCGCTTTAGGCCTCCGCCGCCGTGTGCAAAAAAAAAAAAAAAGTTCAATCAATTTCAACTTCTCGCGGGGAAAAAAAAGATCTTGCAAAGTTGGAATTGATTGATTGAACTTTTCACCCAGTCTGCCGTTACCACCGCAGCCACGCCCAGCCAATGGGCCACACCCAGCCAATGAGTCATGCCCACCCAGCACCCGCGGATGCATAAGTGGGTTTTGGGTTGCAGTTTGGGCACTTGGTCTCTAAAAGGTTCGCCATCACTGCCCTAAACATACAACTCAAGAGGAGACGTAGTGTTAAATAAAAAAAAACAACATCCCAAAACAACTGAAAGAGCTTAACACGATAATAAGTGATGAAGAGATTAGAATTAGCCACAGATTGATTTACTGCATTCTTGGCCCAGAAAGTACTACAGCAGGAGTGTCCAACCTTGGCCCCTTTAAGACTGGTGGACTGCACCTCCCAGAATTGAGAGATGGCTGGCTGGGGAATTCTGGGAGTTGAAGTCCCCAAGTCTTAAAGAGGCCAAGATTGGATGCCCCTGTGCTAAAGCATCCAAACACAAGTGAGCAGTGATGGAACATTGAACGGTATTTAAAGGAAGGGACAGAATCTTTATTCATCTATCCCACAACAGCCAGGAACACATCAATACCCTTTGGACTGAATATTAAAAAGGTTCATTTCAGCATCTTTGTGAGATAACTGCTTCAGCCAACATCAAGGGCGCCTTTGGGAGAAAGCACTTCAAGCACAGCAGCCTATCCTCAAAGGGTCCAAGAAGCTAAGCAACAAACATATGTTTAGAGAAGTGATTTTGTCAGAGCGCTCACTGGAGGCCATCATTGATTGCCCAATATTTCAGTGCAGAATGCAACAAAATGAGTTTTACAGCTAGATTGGCAACCAGTTCTTCTTTACTTGGCCTTCGCCAAGCGGTGTCCATGTATCCTATCCAAGGAAAATCCAATCTCTCTCTAATCCAGGATTTCCCCAACCTTGGCAACTTTAAGACATTTTGACTTCAAACTCCTTAAATTCCGCAGCCAACCGTGTCTTAGACAGGTTGGAAAATAACTAAAAATACTGTTTAAAAGTGTAAATCCATAAACACTGTTTGCTTTAAAATTTCAAGCTTTGGTCCATTTACAATGCCTGGACGGTGTTGGCAGACTAAACATGGTTCTTACTATTAGAAAATGTTGTGTGTTCATACTTTTTGATAGAGTTCCTTTCTTTCTGTTTCTGTTTCTGCAGAAAGAGCAATGTCTAGCCACTCTTCCCTGATTTTCAGTCTTTTGATCTGAAAAGGCTAGCCCACCCTCTTCGTCCCATGCCAGAAATATTCCTCCTGTTCAAAAAGAATGCATAATTTAACTTTCATTAAGCAATCGGGCGCAAAAATCTTTGCATGAGAGATGGCAAAACACAACTGCTATATATTTTATTTTTATTTTTTGCTGTAGTGTCATCGATGTGCTTTGTAGAGAAGCGAAAGCGAGATCCCTGCCAGGAGCCATTTACATAGCTTAGCTGGGACAGATTAAGAGAGCTATCATTTGTGAACCGCTTATGGCTGAGATCCCAGGCACGCTTGGAAGTTGAACGCGTGAAATTCAACAGATAACATTTCCAAGTTGATAGACTGGATTTTGGTGAAAATTGCTTTCAGTTTAGAGCAGGGATGTCCAACTTTGGCAACGTAAAAGAACCTGTGGACTTCAACGTCCAGGATTCCCCAGCCAGCCATGCTGGCTGGGAAATTCTGGTGGTTGAAGTCCACAAGTCTTCAAATTGCCAAGGTTGGACACCCCTGGTCTAGAGAATTTCAGAAAACCCTGCCCTGGGCCCATAAAACCCCAAGTTATTGAAGTGTTACCATTTGCAAAACCTTGAGGTCTTTGGATTGTGAACAATCCAAATTGTACGTAAACCCTTTGTCGCTAACTAAAAATCCAACCATTTGAATTATGGCAATGCCACATCACACAAAGTGACATTGATATCACATTTGGGTATGAGATGCTTGTCCACAACGGGACAAGCAAAAGTGTCAGGTAAAAAAAAAAATTGCTCCTGGATACTGGTAGGGCATCCACCCTTGCCGCTAAGGATCAATTTTTCATTAGTGTCCCGAGATACTCTGCAACCTTCCTTATTTTATTTTATTTAGAAAATTCAACCTTCCTTGAATGCGTGGTGGTAGCTATATAAATCATTCTGATAGTCTTGCCCGCCACACACACCAAAGCAAAACCCTCGAGTCTCAACTAATTGTTTTACTAAATCACGTGAGGGAGCCGCTGAAAGAAAGAAAGGCCGGAGTTTGAGTTAAAATCAGATTGGCACTTTGGACGGGTTGTTGATGTGGCCGCCTAGTGACAATGCTTTAGGTAATCAGAGCGCAGCCACTGCCTGTGAATGGTTGAACTGCTAATTAGAGTGAAGAAAATAAAACTGTCACTGCAGGATAAAAGGAGGTAAAAGAAAACAAACACTCATTGCCGTTTCATTGTTAAATAAAATACTGTAAAGTGGAATGGAAGATGGGTGCATGAGGTTAAATAACTATCTGTTGATTGGCTGAGGGTTCGTTTTAAATAAGCAAAGCCCAAATAATCATCCCTAGAGGGGGTCAGATCAATACTGCAAAGGTAGATGCAACTATTGTCTTGAAATAGTTGATGTACATCTGATAGACTTGCTTAAAACAGGCATTTATCTCAGTCCGTGAAAAAATTAAGTTGCCTGGTTATTGCTAGCCCATAACCTTGCGCTTAAAACACACGTCGCATTATAAAATGAAATGTGCAGTTGGTCACAACTGAAACAATAATTGGATTGTTACTTACATTCTGCTGCTCGGTATAATCTTGTGCCCATCTCTAAACCACGTCACTTGGGGTTTGGGGTAACTGGGGATGTGGGGAACGTTGAGGACAGCAGCTTGTCCTTCGGGTACGGTTGTCCACTGGTTCCCATCCTGGAAGCTTCCCATGTCTGCAAAGAAAAGTTTGGGCTAAGAACTTCAGGAGTTTCCCCTTCCATGCCATGCCACGCCATGTTTTTCAGGAACACAATGAGTACTGTAATCATGATGCTGCCATGTAATCATTGCTACCATCAAGCAGCAAGCTGTAGCAGACCTGGTGCAGCTTTGTGAGTGTGTACTGAGGCATGAGACAAAGCCCAGTGACTCTACGACCCCTCAAAGATCTGTCTACACTACTCCTTGCTTGCATTTCACGGGACGGGCAACTGATTGACACAGATTCACAGAAGGCAAGCGTCTGTCATGTCACGTTACAATGCAGACAAATATTCTGAAGGCAGATGAAAATCGAATAGCTCGAGATGACAACTTTAACAAAGGTTCTCCTGCTTGAAACCTGGGCAGGTAAGAATTTTCTTTTCCCGAAAAAGAGCGGAAATCAAAGCCGAAAACCAAGCTCAGTTCCAAAGAAAAGAGAAGCGGGGACAAAACACCAACTCTACGTAATAAAGGGAGCAGCATAAGATGGATTAAAAAGTACGTAAAGTAAAGAGTTATGGTTAATAGGAGAGCTTCCGAATGGGATCTTTGAGTGCAAAAATGGATCTGGGTGAACAAAATATCTGGGACGCCACTCGAGAAACGTGGCTTGTTCAACTCGGAGGAGGCAGAATTCGGAGGGAAGAAAAAGCCAGTTAAATACAAATGCAGTTAAATAAGCAATGCAAACCTTTGATATGATGCCAGCGGCACTCAGGGAGTGAACTGCGCCCCAAACAATTGGCAGAAGAGCTTTCCAATATGTGTGTCGTACCACCCCTGCTGTGAACTCATATTTCATAAGTCCCCTGCAGGGTGACCAAGTTCTGCAAGTTTCCAAATACTTCCCAAAGCAAAGAGATGTAGGACACGGGATCGAAAAACAGGAGACTTTTTCAATCTGGAATAACTGGAGAAGGGAGTGTTCAGCTACAAGTACCATTCAACTAACTGTGTTAAAATGGTCAGAATTTGGATACTGGTCCCCGAGGTCATAAAGCGGGGCTAAGCTCAATAATAACAGGCAGGAATCAAGGATAAATGCTATAAAGTGGGATGTGCAAATGGAATTGGCGTTTCAACAGATAGGTCTGGAATTGAGCAGGCACCCACTAAAGGGGAAACAGACGAGTTAAGATTTGGGATGCGGATTGTATATCCTACTCCACGCTGGAAAAAAAAAAAGATAATGAAGAAATTTACTTCTGTGGAAATGTTGTGTCTGAGTTTTTAAAAAGGTGTCAGGCCCAGGATTGAAAAGCTGCATAAAGGGACGGGAAGTGAGGGTCTCTTTAAAAAAAAAAAAAAACCTGCTCTGTATTCCAATTTCAAAATGAGTCATTATTTCAACTGGGGTTTTATTGACAGGGTGATTTTTTTTTCTCCTGGATCTAAAATGGCCCATAGTTTTTGTTTTCTATTGTAATAAGATTACCTACTTAAACAGAAGTATTGAACCGTGCAAGTACTTCTAATTAACCTTGTTGTTGCACGATCAGTTTAGCCTTCAGAATTCAGACATTTTCTAATTAAGAATTGCCAGCCAAGTCCTATGGACCTCTTTTGCGTTAATTTGCAACTCAGCTAATTATTTTTTCAAGCGTAAGAATTTTGCCTTACGAGGAAAGTTATCCAAGGCTCAAAGTTTCTAATGCCTTCCTAATTTTATTATGATTTTAAAGAATCGTTCCTTGCGTATAATTCATTACAAGATGTAAGCTTTACATAACAATTTACTGTAAAACAATTACTTGGTGGTTGTATCATCTAATTTAGGAAAACGGTCTCTTAATTTTTTGTTTATGAAACATAAAATCCTGGCCATAAAAGAGGGATTCCAATTAATATCATACTATGCTGAGTGTAGCAGTGCCACTAAAAATATATCAGCTGTGTTTTGCACTGCTGAATGTCTGCCAGAGCATAATTAAACTATCACTGAGTCAAGGGGAAAATAGCAGAGGCAAAAGGATCAAGCGTCTTCAACCACTGCAATAACAACAATGAAACCACACTGACCCTCTTCCAATGGTTTCAGCTTTAAGGCTGCTAACTTCCTCAATAAGTAGGTTGAACTGTGGGGTCTTTGGTGCTCTCTGAGTTTGGCTGTTGGTTGTTGTGTAGCAGATGTTTCATTACCCATTACATCATCAGTGCTAAAATCAGTGCAAACTCCACTCCCATCCAACAATGATGATGTTACCTAGTTGGGTAATGAAACATCTGCAACACCAGAAGCAAGTTCAGAAAGCACCAAGGACACCACACTTCTGTTCGTGGCTTAGCACTGGCTAGCAATCCTCAAATGTCTCATTTCTCCCCCCCCCCCAGGATCTTCTCCATCCCAAACACCATGCAATAAAGTTATTAATGTTATAGGATTACGGACACAAGTGAAGCCGTTCCTCTTCAGAGATGCCCTACTTCTAAACTGGCCTATTCATTATTTGCGTAAGGGTTATTCTTAAAATGCATTTGCTGCCATAATTCAACAATTAACACCGGCTTTATCATTACCAAGTCTCCCTTTTTTTAAAAAATAATTCTCAACAGAGCATATGAGAGCTTGGTGGAGGCTTATCTTGAAGACTAAAAGAATGAGAATTTCCTTTGATCCGGTTAAGAAAAAAAATATTCACTATGGTCAATGTTGAAAACCACGTAATATTTGACTGAGATGAAAAGTGAAAGAAACCAGGTTTCAGAACCATGGAAGGAAGGCCTACATAATATTTTGGATATTATTCTAGATCTTTTAAGAGAGCTGAGAACTTCTTGAGCAACGTTTTGGCAGCCAAACCTACCTGAATAATTTAAAAACAAGCATTGTCACATTCCCACCCGCTTTTCAAAGCCGCCTCTGTTGCAGTTTTGGAAAACAAACATTAAATAGCAGTTAGCTGGAAGAGTTAATGGCCACTTGGCCAATTTGCACAGCATTACGCTATTATTCTTGATGCTAATATTAAACAGGAGGAAAAATAAATTCAGCACATTTTCCCTCGTGATGCCTCTCTTCTCTGTTTAATCACTTCCTTGTAAATGGTCATGTCTAATAAAGAATTCTGTTCACCCACTTCATCTTCCTGCCATTTATCAAATGACAGCCACCACTGCTGACCTTCCAGTTAAGTGCTCTGAGGAACAATAATTAAAGTCTCAGGTAAAGACGTGTCATGTATAAACAAATAGTGAAACTTCGTTCCATTTCGGGGAGATTTCAATTTGGCCTCCCCCATTAATAGCTGGCGATAAGGAAGAACTACTTGGAGCGTCTAGTAATCAAAGGTGGTGAGTAAAAGAGATTAGAAGGTGGACAGGACATACTTGGGACTTGTTTCCAAATTTTCCCAACGTGCAATTCTTAAAAGACGTATCACCATCCACAAAAGGAGCAGGGAAGAGGCACTCCGAACATTTTAGTGCCTGTGTTGTAGAGAAGATTCATAATGTGATTGTCTGTTGTTGTTTTTTTAATGTATTCTCCTTTAAAAGCGAATGTGAAGGGTTGCTGTATTAAGCAATTCAGGAAAGAGAGATTTAACTGTTTAAATTAATGGTTCTTCACCAACCGTGCTGTAATAGGGTGGCAAGGCGGGTTGTATGACATGTGTGAGTGTGGCGAAGAAAATAAAATGGGCAGACGCTAAGAGGCAAAATAAGGCTCTACTTTGGGGTCCTGCCTAACTGGGCTGTATTTAGAAAGTGCGGAATAAATGTCCTTCAGACGTACATGCCACTTGAACCTCTGATTTCCTTTGCAAGAGGGCCCCCATCCTGTTCCGCACGACGCACTGATAAAAACCACCATCCGATTTTTTCAAGGATGGAATGACGTATCTGGAAGACAAAAGAGAGAAACGTCAATTGAAAGACAGTCTTGGTTTTTAACCTTGGGACACAGCCACAGTCGTAAATATGAACTAGTGACCAAGCGTCTGAATTTTGATCACCCGACTAAGGGGATGCTGCAACAGTCGTAAGTGTGAAAAACAGCCATAAATCGCTTTTGTCAGTATCGGCGTAACTTTGAACGGTCATTAAACGAACTGCTGTAAGTTGAGGACTGCCTGTGAACTCACAGCAACAGGCATACTTGTGTGTGTCACCTTTTCCCATCAAGACACTATGGAGGATAAGTTGGAAAACCAAGCCTAAACTCAGCGTTCAGCCATGAAGCTGACTGGGTTAAGTCAGGAAGTCTTTTATTTTCGAATTCATCTTATCCTGCAAGGTTGTTGATAAAGATAACATGGGGGAAATCACATCTGCTACATTCATTTCTTTGGGGGAAAGAAAAGCATGATAAAAGCAAGAAAAAAATGCCCATCTTTCTTGCAACATTATTGTCTACTGTGAATGTAAATCTTGTTTTGGAAATGCCAAGATAAGATATATCGCTTTTCATCTTCCCTCCACAACTTACATATTAATAAATTGTTCTACATTACACAAAACTACACATGAATCATGCAGAGGTTGGATAGTGTGGATTTTATCAAACACATCATATATTGATGACAGACCGTGATTAATAATGTGAACAGGCAAGGCATAACTGCGTAAAAAAATCTTAGTTATTCTCTTTTTCGGCCTTAACCCTCAAGCTTGCTACATAAACTATGGGAGTATTTATTAGCAATGAATAATTTACTTTGTATTAACTAAAATGCATTGTAAACTTAAGCTGGGGGATCATTTTTTATTGCTATTTGGGCTGGAGAGCAACTCATCTTCTACTCTAATCAATTATTACTTTATCGCTGATTGTAACTGGCAGGGTTTATAAGTAGCGTTTGAACCATATTGTAGTCACTTGGCAAAACGACAAAGCTACAACAATGAGGTATTTTGTTCTGCTGCTTGCCAACAAGACAAGAGTAGAGCCAAATTTAGCCAAACTCTCTTCTGCCAGAGGCAAACCGTCTGTAATCATTTCATCCCAATGAATAAATGCAATTCCCTGAACGTAAGAATAAAAACAGGCCAACCACGTCTTGGATTGTGGCACACAATTACAAATAAATAACAGGACTTTAATATTCACAGTAGCATATTTATTCAAATAAATATTGTAAACTTTGATTAGTTTTCTGGGCACACTTTGTTCGACAAAATAAATGTTTCAAGGATAGGAAACAAATTAATCAAGGACTAAGGGGGGGGGGGGAAACCCTCTGTGTTTCATTGGGAACAAACGAACCTATATATTATTTGTTAGCAAAACTTAAATACCTTAATTATTACTTAAAAAGGGTAGTTTTTCAGCTAATCCCTGTAGCTGTGACATAGTACAGTGCCAAGTGCTGATTGCTTTTGAATTATAAATGGTACACTGTTTCATATTAATTGTAGGTATTATTAAAAAATACCTACCAGAACCTGTTATGCATAAACAATGCCTAATCTAGCTAAGGTCAAAAATGGTTTAGTCGAGTAAAAAACCCGAACCCTAACCTTTGGCAATTCCAGTTTTTCTGAGACCCATTTTGCATCAATATGAACGTGTGATTTTTTTTTCCTATTACTGGCAGACCACAGCATAGCTTGCCCCATTGATCAATGAACAGCTGTGTTGACTCGTGTTTGTTTTCTTCCATGATTAATCAAAATGCCTTGACCTTAAATAGCTTTTGAATTTCAGTTCCATACACAGAAAACATCCCGCCACTTAAAAAAAAAAACCAATGAGGGCAAAATGAGAGAAACAGAAATAATGAGGATTATTTGATTGGGTATACAAGGGGTGTCCAATCTTAGCAACTTTAAGACTTGTGGACTTCAACTCCCAGAATTCCCCAGCCAGCAGGGTTGGCTGGGGAATTCTAAGAATTCTAAAGTCACCAAGATTGGACACCTCTGGTGTAGACTGTTGCTTAGATTCTAGCATTTTTTTGGTGATGAGACCAGAAGGTAGAAGGTGTTTGTGAGAACAGTGACCATGGAATAATCCATTGATTTCTTCATGCGCATGTTAAGACATAAAAAGGACCAGTCGCTGCTTCTCTTAGCAAAGGAACAGCTAAAATGCTGACACACAAACAGCTCATTTATCTTTGTCATGGCTTGCTCATAAGAGCGGAGAGCTGAAATGCTTTTGGGAAGGACTTGGGTAACCTTCTAAATGTATATCAAAAAAGCAGTGAATAACAGAAGAGAGAGATTAATGAAGAGATAAATTTGGATTGGGTCAATATGATGGAGATATATTGATAAACATTGCAGACACCCAGAGTGTTCAAAAAGAGACTGGACAACCATTTATTCAGAAGGGTATGGGACCTCCTGCTTGAGCAGGTAGTTGGACTAGAAAACATCCTATTGTTCTATGTTCTAGACCAGGGGTAGTCAACCTTGGCTCTTTTATGACTCGTGGACTTCAATTCTGGGAGTTGAAGTCCACGAGTCATAAAAGAGCCAAGTTTGACTACCCCTTGTCTAGACACTAGTAGGATTCTGCATTCTCAAATCACTTACTTATATTCTCTGGAGAACTCTGTGATTTCCATATCATTATGCAGCCACTTAAATTCCAAAGGCCAGCTTCCTTCTGCCAAGCAGGTGAGAACAAGGCGGTTTCCTTCCAGATGCGTCTGAGGCAAACTGGGTTCCGTCTTGAAATAGGGAGCTACGTCATCTGCAAGACAACATTATCACTTTTAGATATTTTGACGCCTTATGTGCTAAATGATATATCACGAGTTTACATCATTGGACAAATCAAGATTTTTAAAAAACAACAACAACCTATGGCTGGATTCTGCATTCAGATCCATGCCACAAAATATTTTCATTAAGAACCATCAAAGTGATGAGGCCAGTGGTGGGATTCAGCTGGTTCATACCAGTTCAGCAGAACTAGTAGCTAATTTTTTTGTTGCCCAGGCCCAGAATGGAATTCTGGAAGTGGCATCCACATAGAGAACTGGTTGTTCACATATTTGAATCCCACCACTGGATGAGGCCGATGTACAAAAGAAGGAAAGTCCCAAAATGCTCTTATTTCCCTAAGGCCCTAGAGGTTGGATGTTCTCCAAGAGGTACTGGGAGTAAGTTGGGAGTAAAAGATACAATAGATAATATAGCATCTTTTATTATAGCACTATATCTTTCGTTATACAGTATGTAGCACACTCAGCTGTGTGGGTGCTTTAGTTTTGGCTAAGAGTGGGGCATGAACTCATCCTCCTGTGGTTATAAGCCACCAGTTATGGATTAGAAGTTACACAAATCCAGCATACTGGGGTTTTTAAAAAGCCACAAGCTCATTTAGCATGATGAATCAATGTTCACTCAATGCTGCAGACCGAGAAAGCTTGGTTTTCAGGACCATGGAGAGCAATCTTATAGCTAAAATATAGGTCAATGGCTACCCCGGTTCCCTTAAATCCAAATCTCGTAAAGTCAAGCTCAGAGGGCATCCAGGACCCCAAAGTGAAGGGTTCCCTCACTTGAAAACACTGGGGCAAAGCATTGTACGAGGAATCAACAAATGTCTCTTCTGTGCATGCGCAGCACATGCCCATAAACCACTCAACTTTAAGGTAAGATGGCCAGAAGAGCATGGCTCAACCCTGCCTCGAATCTTGACCAAAGTAGAACATCACAAAGGATGTTTTGTCCTAGCCCAGTCCCTTGAAACATAACAATTCCACCCTGCACACAACTACCGCACTCCACAACAACAAGAACTGAAGAATAGGCAAAATTAAATTCAGTCAACTACACTGCCCTTAATACAAGAACCCCGCTGCTAAGCTGCCCCTGCCAATTGTTGGTCACCCTCAAGAAACGCAATTCTGGAACACTTCAACGCCTGCTTCTCTTTGAAGAGACAGCAAAAAGCAAGTTGCCCTTTAGAACGGTTCCTGCAAGCAACTGTGGAAATGTGTGTGTGATGGAGCAGCCAAAATATTTAAGTGCTTTCTTTGAAATAAAACATAGAAGACAGCAATAAATAGGAGAAAAAAAAGTTCCTCAAGGATGGGTACATTCTGTAATAGATTCTGGTTCCACTGAAGCCTGTGGCAAAAATTGCACTGATATGGGAGAATCTCGGTAACATTTTTTTTTTGTAAAACTGCCAGGGTATTTTTGTTTGTTTTTTACCAAACACACAAAATATGTTTTCCAACTATGGAGGAAAAGTCAGAAGAGTTCTATATAATTATGAACGCTTTGCATGTTTCAGACCATAAGCAAGCAAGGAACCTTCAGGGCTTTCATATATCAATTAAAATTGCCACCATGTGACAAAGGCAGCTGTGGATTAAATTTACTAATCCATTTTCTTTTCCTTAGGAACTATTGAGCGGAGCATCCAGTGAAGCCACGTCTAAAAATTAGCTACCCTAATTAGCTCTTTGTACCCATTTTCATTTGTTTACAATCGACACGCAAATTAACAGGGAAATAATGCTACACTGGGGGACTTCCTTGTTGCTTCTCTCTGGCATAATCGTGTCTCCATTTTCTTTACTGGGCCCTACCCAACAATTTGTATCGGTTTAAAAAGTGGAGGCTAACAGTTATGAGCACTGGCCTCTGTACAACCAATGAATAATAAAATAGATGCAAAATAATTGTCTTCAGATTAAAAACATCATTCTTAAATTAAGTGGGTCTGCAAATTAATTATCTACAAGTGAAGGACTTGACTTGAGAATCTGATGTTGGACATTAGAAGCTGGATGTTTTTTTCATTAACTTTGTGTTGCTCAGACCTCTGAGTCTTAGAAAGAAATTGCCTTTTATACAACATCAGCTTGTTTGTTTGGCAAGCAGTGTGGGGTCTCAAGTAGACAGACCTAAGACATATGTTAAGAACTGGAAAAAAAACCAAATTTGGACATCAGTTTTCCATCTTTCCAAACTCAAGGAAACGGAAGCAAGTAAAATCTTGAATGTCTACGTTCAAGTATGATGATCCATGATCTTGATCTTTCCATATCTGTTAACTTCTCAACTGGAATCCATCATTGCCAGTAATCTAAATCAGAAGCACCAGCCTGGTCTCCCAGAAATTGTGTTTCTTATCATGCCTGGTATTTCAACAGCTGTAGGTTGCTGAATAAATGCTTATGAGCAACATTTAAAGATCTATTCAGGCAAGATTATAAGAAAATCATCAAACTCGAGTATTTTTAGAACTAAAAATTAGCAGATCAGAACATTCTGAAAAGCATGATTTATAAAACAGCATGATTTATATAAAACAGGTCAATGTTCTGCAAGATTTATTTGAGCCCATTCAAAAAAAGACATTCGTTCAACTTTGTGTTTACGTATTATGCAAATAGCTTTCGTTGAGCTAAATAAGCAGTGCAGAGTAACATTTGTTTGGAACAAAATTAAAATACAATCCTAGGCACAACCTCATTGTAACCAAGGATTCCAATGCACATTTGCATAATTCTTCCTACATTTGTTTAGATTTTATTTTAGATTTGATGTTTAGATTTGATCATGTAGGTAGGTGCCTATTTTCCAAACAATGTTCCCATATATTTACACCTACAGCCAAAATGGACTCATTAGCTACCAGAAGAACTGCCAGGGGCTCATGTGTATCTCAGTTTATAAAGCGGATATTCAGCTGCTCATACCAAGTTCTCGACTGTCTCTTTTGCTACATCACAAATGGAAAGCCAACTTTTGTTCAATAGTGCAGAGTCACAATAAACCCATCCTTTGAACCTGCATCCCAAATCTGTGGAAATCTCTAGAATGAACCCTAAAGTTTCTTAAATTTCAGGGCTTATAAAAACAGGGGCACAATGAGGAAGAGAGCAGTCAAACAATGCCCCAAAGATGCTTTTTCACGAGGCAACTGGACTTTCTTGTTTTTCTTTGAAGATGTTTCGCTTCTCATCCAAGAAGCTTCTTCAGTTCTGACTGGATGGTGGAGGATGGAAGGATTTATACTCCTTGCAGACAGCTGGTCATTCGCATTCTTTTAGAGAGTCATTGATTATTAGTCAATTATTGATTGATCATTGATTATTAGTCAAAAGATGCATTTTCATGTGGATTTCCACCCTGTTCTAACCACTGTGCCACCAGTAGGCAGAAGACTCTCTTTCTGGAACTATTCTTAACAGGATTTTCTTTCTCCTAGGTTTATTAGTTCATCTGAAAGTCTTCTTTTAACAGGCACTCCTGCAGCTGAGATTCAAAGCCCTCAGAACATATACACAAAGCGAAAAAGACAGTATGACTTATAGTATTCAAATTTATGAGCTGTAAAGTACACTGTAACTCACACACCCCTAAGGATGCTCAAGCAGCAGTGGCTCAAGATAGCTAACACCAATATATTCTAAATGGTAATTACTGTATCCTATTTACCAAAACAGATGATGGTCCTGAATTTTCGACAAACCTTCCAAAAGATAGGAGGGAAATATATATATTTTATGCCTCCATTTCCGTATGCTCAGCAAATCTAAAACGACTCTCTTATTTTTATAGATAATTTTTAGCGGGGAGAAACCAGTCTGCATTTCAGGTGGATAAATGTAATAAAATCCATCAATGGATAAATGTGACTCGGACAGCAACAGCAATCAGACAAATCTAGGAGTTGTGAGAAGAAAAAACTCTGCTGGAATGAGGCCATAGTTTGTATGCTCTGGCAGGATTCCCCCTACCGTCCAGACAATCCCCAATAATGAATGGAGAGATCAAAGTAATCTCCCCATCTAAGAAAGAGCTCAGAAACCTTTAGATGAAGCCTGGTATCTATATCACATCTATGCGGAAGTCACCTTCCAGAATCACACTCTAATAATCTCATTTTCCTTTTCACATTGATTTATGGATTCTGGCAAAGGTAGGGCTGAAGGAATTTAGTAATACATCATCAGGCATTTAGACCTTAGCAGACGGATGAGATGCAGTAACACTAAAAGAAAAAAGGGAAAAAAAGGGAAGGTTTTACTTAGTCTCTTAGGACTGTCCCAGGTATTTTTCTACTCACTGGGGAATCTGGACTCTAGTCATTGCTTACAGGGCTGTAAATGCAAGGTCAGTTGCCTGAAATCCATGAAATTTCATGAATTATCTCATTTATAAATTAGATTCCCAAACAGGTCCAGACTTGCTTGTGTGATAAACAGAGCTTTGTTTTTGAAAACTGTGTAGTAAGCAGAGAATATTTGTTATACTCTTCTAGCTTTATTGAGTCCCCAGATGACCCTTGATCTCTCTCGTTGGAATTGCTGCTGGTATTAATAAACAAGGGCAGGTGAGAAAAATAAAAAAAAACTTTTGCTCTATGCCTTTGCTTCGGAAAGAAACTGCCACACAACGAACGAATCCGATGCAAATCTGAAGTGTGGGAAACACGAGCAATTTTCATCTAACTGAAAAGTCCCTCCCCCTGCCAATAATCAACAACAGCGAAGAAGCCAACATAGGATTTAATTATTCCCTTTATGGAAGATGCAATGTATATTATTACAAAATTACAAGCTAATATGCTACCCGTTCTTTGGCACCGTTTCAGTCATGCTGTTAATTAAAAGCTGGAACCTCTCAAAACCACTTTGCCACTTTGTGTTACTCTGAAAGCGGAGAGAAGAAAAGCAATTTGGACACCCTTTGATAAGGTTAGACACGGTTGTCCAAAATCCTTCAATAAACAGACCTACAGAGATTGGCATAGGATTCCAAGTTCCCCAGAGGGATTAGATGCCAAAATGTTGGGTTCAACAAGAGATCAGAAGGGTCTTTCCATTATTAAGGGGCACAGAGAATTGATATCCCTAGACTGATTCACTTCATCATAACAGAACATTTTTAACGAAAAAGGGGGAGGCTAAGCTTTGTTGTGCAGGTTTTCTGAGTTATTATCACTATTGTCAAATATTTATTGCAAAAGAGACTACAGGCAGAACTCAACTGGCGACCACAAGGGAGCCCCAAATTGATATTGCTAAGTGAGAAATTTGTTAATTCAAGGACTACCTGTATTAGAGACTGAATTATCGGGAATTTGTAATTAGACTTCCCATTTTTCTCCATTTGGATCTGTTCTGGTCCAAAGTCTTTGACAATAGCAGAGGTTAGTAGGGGTGCTCATCTAAAATAACTGGAGAACTCAGTGATTTAGATTAAACAAAGTGACATCAATCAACTTTGAAATCAGAACTCTCTCCTCCAGAGGGGAGAGGGGGAAAAAAAAACCTACCTTAGCTCATTTGATAGGAATAGCTGCAGTCCTGAATCTTTAATATGAT